GTCTTGTATGTTTTTCCTTTTTCAGGAAAAGGACCGCATGGGAGGAATAATCAAGTGCTTGAGATTTCATACTTCAAAGCTCAAACACTTGGGGGACTATATAATATGCATATGATTTATTCATAAGGAAGGCAAAGAAGGCAGAAATATACAAATTTCAAGTCAAGCCTAAAGTCTACTCAACAAATATCAAGTTTAGAGCAAAGTCACGAGCCAAAAAATGCAAGCATGATCCAAAAAGTATGATGAATACACTCGTGGATGCAAATTTCAAACTCTACAAATATTTAGGTTAAAGGCAATATTTACCATGGGTCATAAAGAAACCCTTGGATTGTTTTACAAATCTGTTGTAAAGAAAATAATTACGAAAGAGTAATAGTAGATATTTAAATACATGTAAGATGCTATTTAATCTTGACAAAGTTCGAATAAAAACTTTATCAAAGTTATTGTAAGAAACATGTGTGTTCCTATTTCTCCTTTCGTATATTTACACCATTATAAAGTTAAGACGTCTTCTTCATTAAGTGTCATATATAAAAGGGCTCTCTTTTATAATTCATGTTTGATTCAAAAATCCATGAAATTAACTAAGCATTTCTAAAAATGCAAAAAGTTAAAAGGTTAAAACAAAAACCCGCATATTGAAATTAAATAAAAGCAAGACCCTAAACTTATAAAGAAAAAAGGCAAGGGCAAATCATTAAAAGAGTATAACAGAAACTCAAGTCGAAGGTATTATAAGTTGAAACAGAAAACTTTATAATATTCAGTTAAAACTAAGTATACACTTAGTTCTAACTTAATTGTCATCATAAAATCCCCGAAAAGACCTACGGGTTTGTTGTTACCAAAAACATTACCCCTAAATGAGACCAGGGGTAAAACCACCAAACATTCCACCAACAAAACAAAAAAAGAAGAAGTTAAACTTCACAAACAAACTTTCACTGTGGAGCAGGTTCTGAAGAAGAATTCAGGATGGCATCATTAGCAGCAAAAGTCTCGATTTGATCAGAAGGAGCTAGGACATCTACCGCACTAGGATTAGCTTCAACATTTTCGGGAGTATTAGCCATGAGTGAAGAAAAGCTTTGGCTTTGCTGGCTTTGGCTTTGCTGAGTCTTTTCTATTGCTCCTTTAATCTTTGCTAACTCAGCATCCAAGTTAAAACCTTTCTGGCTAACCTCCATAAGAGTATCATGGCGCGTGTTCAAAATGGCCCAACTTACTTCAACAACAGCCTTGTCCTCAGAGCCTCGTAGTCTCTTTCCCAATGATCAGTTTCACTCTTGAGCTCCTCCTTCTCAGCCAAAGCAGCAATGTAAGAAGACTGTAAAGGGGCAAGTGAACTCTCCAAAAACTTGACCTTGTCAGAAGACCCTCGGAGATCTTCTTGAGTCTGGGTGAGAGTTTGAACAGGATCACCAACATAAACCTCTTTCTCATTCAGCAAAGCCTTAAGGCCTCTGATTTCTTCAATAGCTTTGGAGAGTTGTTCAGTAAAAAACGACTCGAGGAGGTTTTTGTCCTCGCCCGCCTGGTTGGAAGAAGCTTTCTCAACTACTAGCTCCGATGCCATGACTCTTAGCTGCTGCTCTAAGGTACATTTGTTTTCTTCTAAAACTTCCATCTCAAGCTGAAGACTTTCAAACTGCTCTTCCAAATTATCTGCCTCAATCTGGTAATCATGTATCAATTGCTCTGTATGGGAAACCCTTTTCATCATCTCCGTATCAATGAGATTGATCTACATAGAAAAAAAAGATAAGAATCTTAGCAAAAGAAGAATAGAATAGAACATGAAAAGAAATCAATACCTTCAACAATGATTGCACAATGTCATTCATCTAAGTCAAAGAAGTATGACTTTCTAGCTTAGACTTTTCAACTGGACCAATCAAGGGTTTCAACCATACGTCAGCTTGGCCTGACTTCTTCAAATGATTACCCTCGGTAGGAACCTGAATGGTAATTTGCTTTATCACTCTACTTCCACTTGAAGAACCAACCTCAGTTCGAGAAATATTAGTAGTTGGGAACCAACCTCAGTTCGAGAAATATTAGTAGTATGGACTGTAGAGGAAGTCAAAATGGCTTGAGGCGGAGTAGAAACAACAGCAGTAAGAGTAGGCAATAGGCACTCTATTGGGACAGATAGGGGTAAAAAGGCAAGAGGCACTTCCTCACAAACCAAATCAAAACTTTTATTATCAAACCCATGCGAAAAAAGTTGTTCATCAGAGTCACGAGCTGCCATGGGAGTCTCTTCGTTAGAACTCACTGAAGTGGCTTCAACAGGCTCAGTAATAGGAACAGAACGAGGAGGAGTAACTTCTTCATTCTAAATGACACGTCTTCTAGCCCGCGACCTTCAAACCAAAGAACTTCCATCCCGTTCCTCCTCCTCTTCAGAATCTTGGGGTTTGTCAGCTTTCCTTTTTGATGAAAAACTCAGGATTATCTCTTGAGCTCTTGCCAAAGAGAGGCTAGAAGCTGCATTTGACTCAGTGCTTACACCGCGAATAGGAAACCCTAATAAAAAGAAAGGTCAAATACGTTCTAAAGAAAGAATGAATAAAAATAGAAGGAAAGGAATAAAAACTTTACCGTGAGTCTTAACCTTCCAACCAAACCTGTTTGAAAGGTATTTCCAAGATCTAACTTCCATTTGAGCAATGATCAACAATTTATCTACCCGACCACAGAAATTGGGAATCTCTTCAACAGTTGCCATGGTTGTTGAAAAAAGTGAAACAGTCACGGGAAGTACAAACCCTTTCTAAAAAAAAGGGAAAAAGGGAAGAAAGAAAGTTGTAAAGAAAACTTACGTGCAAAATTCCACTTTTCAAGGAATGGTATATTTTCTTCACCTACTAACCTTACCGTAGGAGCAGCAACAAATCTGGCATACCAGCGATGGTCCTTATCATCTTTAAGGCTGACTAAAACCCTCTTAATCCTCGCTACCAAAGTAAAAATCCCATGTCGGAACAACTTAGGGGAGTAGAGATGGATCAGATGCAAAAAGGTGAAAGGCAATTGAGCCAAATTAGCCAAATACCTTAAACATGCAACAACCCTCCATACAATAGGGCCAATTTGTCCTAGACACACATTGAAGAAGCGACAAATTTCAATAATGACTGGATCATTAGGGGGTCTAAAGCCCAAGGTAAAAGGGTACATATATACAAAGGAAAAACCAGTTTTGAAAGAAGTAATCCTTTGATTTGCATTAGGGATCAAAATTGGGAAATCGAAACTCCAGTGGCAATCTCAACGAACAACAGAGATCAAGCCTTCATTAATCTGTGATGGGAAAACATCAGCACGATCATGAGAAGACATAGAGGAAACTTGGTTCCTAATTGATTCTCTATCAGTATAAAAAGAAAGTTCATAAGGGATAATCTCGTCTACTGTAGGTTTACAAATTGGCTTACTGGAATCCCTACTTCTAGCAGAAGACCTATATGTCAGAGAAGCCCTAGTTCTAGAAGATGAAGGAGGAGTGGATCTAGGTAGTGAAGAAGAAGAACCTCTAATAGCAACCGACCCTAGACTACGCAATCTTCCCCCTCTCCTGCTTCTAGTAGGAGCAAGGGGAAGTTCATCAACAATAGGAACTTTTTAGGGATTAGGGTTTGAAGAAGACGTAGCTGTACGAGGAAGAAGTGAAGATTGAATATTCAAAGATGGAAAACATTTTTGATAAAGAAAATACAAAGGATATATTTATACTCAGAAGCAATCGTCAAACAAAAAGGTAATGATGGGAATGTCATAATGAAAACTGTCACTTCGTGATTGATGTAAGCCGTAAAAGAGCCTTAAAAGGCGCTGAAGGGTTGCAGAACCAATAAAAAGTCACCACGTGTCACATGCATTAAATGGAAGTGACATGCGAAGCGTCAGTTCTGAAGAAGGTATAATGATATGTAGAATGGCGGCAAAAATTCCCGCTTTAATGAGATTCACTTCCCAAATATTTAATTGATGAATAAATGGCAAGTGGGGGGGACTATCTGTATTGAAAAAATTCAAGTTAACATTTGGAATTAATTATGCGTTGACATGTCAAGACATGTGGATCAATGAAAGAAAGACAGCTAGCAAAGAGCATTCATAGAGACACGAGCCTTAATAAGCACGGGCGAAGATTCGAGAAAACAAGAAGGAGCGATTACTCGGATCTCTTGGTAATTTGAAGAGACATCGGAGGAATGAACCTAGATAGCAAAAAGTACAGATACATATTATCTGTAATTAATGAGCATCAATGATGTAAAACGTTATAGAATCTTCACGAAACAGTTACGATTGTCAATTATAATGGTACATTAATGTCATTAATTGCTCATAATGGCTCTATTATGAGAGGAAAGAAACGTAGTACTTAGAAATAGCTATAAAAGGAGAGAAATAACATTTGTAAAGGGACACAGAATATTATTGGAATACATTGATTTACTTTGCTTTGCCTACTCCGCTACCTTTCAATTCAATTCTTCCTTTTCATTACATAGTCATTTCCTTATTTGATTATCAGTAACCCGAGTTCTTCTAAAATTAAGCTTTAACCGAAATTCTTATTTTCTGGTTAAACAATTAGTATCTTTAATATGCAGTTTTATAATTTCTCACATCTCTAGATATGTGTAAAAATAAAGAATTCTATGTTTCTTTATTTTAAGTTATTTGTATGATTGTCATATGAAAGTTTCTAATTTTCATGTTAATAGAATTAATTGAGAGAAGAATACTTATTTTATGTTGTTCGACATTTGAAATTGTGTTAAAGTTAGAAGACATTTTTGTTCTAGTTAACATCAAAGATATACTAATAACTTGTAGAAACAAATAGTATTCTTTTCTATGGAATTATCACTTCAGTATATATAGATCATAAATTTGATAATATGTCAATTTTTAAGATTCTTTACGCTATTATCCTAATCATTTATGATTATTTATCATCTTTGATAGTTTTCACCATGTCGAATTTGTCAAAGCTTGAGTTTGTGGTACTTGATATTTCTGGAAAGAATTACCTATCATGGGTTCTCGATGTTGAGATTCACTTAGCTGCTAAAGGCCTTGGTGACACCATTATTCAGGGTAATGAGGCATCAAGCCAGGACAAAGCGAAGGCCATGAGTTTCCTTCATCATCATTTGTATGAAGGTTTGAAAGTTGAATATTTGACAGTGAAAGATCCACTTGAATTGTGGACTGGCCTGAAGGAAAGGTATGATCACCTTAAGGCTACGATATTACCAAGGGCTCGATATGAGTGGATGTACTTACGACTGCAAGATTTTAAGACCGTAAGTGAGTATAACTCTGTTGTATTTCGAATAACTTCCCAACTGAAACTATGTGGGGATATTATGAATGCTGAGGATTTGTTAGAAAAGACTCTTACGACTTTTCATAGCTTAAATATGGAATTACAACAACAATACCGTGAAAGGGGTTTTAAAAAGTATTCTGAATTGATCTCATGCCTTCTGGTGGCTAAGCAACATAATACCCTTTTTTCTAAAAATCGTGAAGCCAATCCCACAAGGTCAGCTCCACTTCCTAAAGCGAATATGGTAGCTAGATGTGATAAGTTTGGAAAAAGACAGAATAATAATCATGGCCATATGAATGTATGTAGGCATCGCAATGGTAAGATATGATATAATAGTCATCATCGTGGTGGTCGTGGCAAATGAGAGAACAATATGGGTTCTCAAAATAATCCTTCAAGAGGCAAAAGCGGTAACTGCCATCGCTGTGGCATGAAAGGTCATTGGAAAATTGATATCGCGCACCTGAGCATTTTGTCAGGCTTTATCAAAACTCCATCAAAAGAAAGGCAAATACTGTTGGAGCATCTTCTGCTAATGCCCCAGTGGAGTCTCACTTGACCTTTAAAAATAATTTTGAGGCAGGGCCTTCAAACAAAAATGATGACAATGCCGAGGCAAATCTTGATTTGAATGATGATGATTTTCAAGACCTCGATGATCTTACTCATATGGAAGTTGAAGACTTCTTTGGAGATCAAAACTAAAGTTTGATCGTTTTACTGGGGAATGAAATTATGTTGTTATTTTTATTTTCAGTATTTTTTTGTCTCGTCCTAAAGTTGTTTTTATTTTAAAGTAGCACTTAAATTGTCTTATGTTGTTGTCAGTATTGTTAGTTTTTCGTATTTTTCATGGCGTACTTTTATTTTTTTATGAAGAAAACAAATTTCCCCAGTCTTCAATTGGATCCAATATGAGTAACGAAGATTTATGCCTTTTGGATAGTGCTACAACTCACACAATATTAAGAGAAAAGAAATATTTCTCTTATTTTGTTATGAAAAAGGCCTATGTTAATACAATATCTGGTAGTACAAAGTTAATTGAGGGCTCTGGAAGAGCGGCCTTATTACTACCTGGAGGAATGATATTACCTATTGATAATGCATTGTATTGTAGTAAGTCTCAAAGAAACTTGTTGAGTTTCAAAGCTATTCGCCAAAATAGCTACCATGTTGAGACATAAAACGAAGGGAAGATTGAATATCTTTATATTACTACAATAAAAGCAAGGAAAAAAATATGTGCACGAAAAATTACCCGCATTTCTTTCTGGGTTGTACAACACAAATATTGGTGTGGTTGAATCACATGCCATCGTAAACAAATGGTTTACTACTTCTAATGATTTTATCATTTGGCATGTCGATTGGGCCATCCCGGTTCTAATATAATGCGTAGAATAATAGAGAATTCAAATGGGCAGACATTGAAGAACAAGAAGATTCTTCAATTTAAGGAATTCTCTTGTGCTGCTTGTTCTCAAGGAAAATTAGTTATTAAACCATCAACAGCTAAAGTTGGGATTGTATCCCTTGCATTTCTGGAACGCATACAGGGTGATATATGTGGGCCTATACACCCTTCTTGTGGACCATTCAAGTATTTTATAGTCTTGATAGACGCATCTACAAGATGGTCACATGTGTGCTTATTGTCAACTCGTAATATGGCATTTGCGAGATTGTTAGCCCAAATAATAAGGTTAAGAGCATAATTTTCAGATTATGCAATTAAGATAATTCGTCTTGATAATGCTGGTAAATTTACATCTCAGGCCTTTACTGATTATTGTATGGCCACTAGAATAAAAGTTGAGCATCCGATTGCTCATATTCATACTCAAAATGGTCTAGCAGAATTATTGATTAAACACCTCTAATTAATAGACAGACAATTGCTAATGAGGACAAAACTTCTCCTTTCAGTGTGGGGACATGCTATTTTGCATACAGCAACACTTATACACATAAGACCAACTAGTTATCATGAAGTCTCCCTATTACTATTGGCTTTGGTCAAGAGCCAAATATTTCCCATCTAAGAATTTTTGGATGTGCGGTATATGTTCCAATTTCTCCACCACAACGTACAAAGATGGGTCCCCAAAGAAGGTTGGGAGTATATGTTGCTTATGAATCTCTTTCTATTATTAAATATCTGGAGCCTATGACAGGAGATTTGTTTATAGCCAGATTTGCTTATTTTCATTTTGGTGAATCAGTTTTTCGAACATTAGGGGGAGAAAATAAACAGCTGGAAAAAGAGATAGATTGGAACGTATTATCTCTATCTCATTTGGATCCTCGTACAGATCAATGTGAACAAGAAGTTCAAAAGATCATTTATATGCAAAATGTTGCAAATCAATTGCCAGATGCATTTACTAACCTTCTACGGGTTACTAAATCGCGCATTCCAGCTATCAATGCTCCAATTCGAGTTGATGTCCCAGCTAAAAAGTATGATAATGCAAATGAGTCTAGGCCATGCCTTAAACGTGGTAGACTAATCAGTTCTAAGGATAAGAATCCCCGAAAAAGGAAAGGAGAAAATGATCAAGTTGATCATAACATGGATGCAATTGCTCAAGAGAAGCATAAAGACATAATAATTAATAAGACTTCACAGGAGGTTGTAGTACATAAAAATAATGAAAATGAAGAGATTTTAATAGGTTATGTCTCTACGAGAAAAAAGTGGAATCGGAATAATATTGTTGTTGACAATAATTTTGCATATAACGTTGCAGTTGAATTAATGCAACAAGATGAGGATCTTGAGCCAAAATCTGTCGATGAATGTAGATAGAGAAATGATTGGCCAAAATGGAAAAACACAATTCAAGCGGAATTGGCTTCACTCGAAAAACGTGAAGTTTTCGGACCAATAGTCCGAACGCCTGAAGGTGTCAAGCCAGTGGGGTACAAATGGGGTTTTGTGCGAAAACGAAATGATAAGGATGAAGTCGTAAGATATAAAGCACGACTTGTGGCACAAGGATTTTCACAAAGTGTCACGATCCTGGTTTCCCACCCTCGGGAGTCATGATGGCGCCTACTAATGTGAGCTAGGCAAGCCAATCCTTAACTGCTTACTTTATTAACAAATTACTTCTTTTAACAATTATTAGTAATATCATGAAAACAACGGAATTAAATAAATATGCGGAAATCAACATATGCATCTACCCAAGAACTGGTGTCACATTACTCACGAACTTCTAAGAGTACTAAATACAACCGTTTGAAAGAAAAATATAAATTGTTTGTCTCGGAAACATGAGATAACAGACTGAAATAAAAGATAGAGGAGACACCGGGCCTGCGGACGCCTGCAAGGCTACCTCGATATCTCGGTGGGCTGAAGGCTGGCTCCCGCGCTACTGCTGCTGTCCAATACCTGGATCTGTGCAAAAGAGAATAGAGTGTAGTATCAGCACAACCGACCCCATGTGTTGGTAAGTGCCTAGCCTAACCTCGGCGAAGTAGTGATGATGCTAGGACCAGACTCCAAATAAACCTGTGCAGTTTATATATATATATACAGCGGAAAAGAGATACAGGAATAACCAGTCAATATGGGAGGGGGAAACATGCTGTGGGGGTGAATATAGTTCCGAATAGAAAGGCATCAAGTAAGGAAAGAAACAACATAACTAGAATATCAACAAGGAAGCAGAAATCAACAATTTGCATGGCATCACCCTTCGTGTTTTTACTCTCATTCTCACCAAAAAAATACACGGCATCACCCTTCGTGCTTTACGCTCTTCCTCACCCAAACAACAATCACATGGCAAATAGGGTAAGGGAATCTAATACCTCGAAGTAAATCAAATAACAACAAGTAATGAAAGAGACAACATAACTCGGATATCAACAATGAATCAGAAATCAGCAAATGCACGGCATCACCCTTCGTGCTTTTACTCTCGTCCTCATCAAATCAATCATATCACAATAATGTGCACAACATCACCCTTCGTGCTTTTACTCTCTTTATTCACAATATAGTCAACAAATATCGGTACGGAATGGTACATCGTACGGCATGATATCACCCTTCGTGCTTTACACTCTTTCCTTATAATAGCAAACAATGCATGGCATCACCCTTCGTGCTTTAACAATCTTCATCACCCAAACAACAATCACAAACAAAGGGGCAAGGGAGTAGACAAATAATGGTAGAAATCCCGGTAAGGGAATACAATTAAACAACTAAATTCGGGCAAGGGAACAATATCAATAAATCTTAACATCCCAGCAAGGGAGATAATCAACAAAGCAACAAACATCCCGGCAAGGGAACAATTCAATAACTCTTCCTCTTTCTTTCACCTCTTACTTTATAACTCACTTTACCACTTGAGTCAATGCTCCAAAGGGTTCAATTATCTCATATACTTTCAAAATTCGTATTATAACTCGAGCCAATGCTCCTAGAAGTTCAAAGATCACAATTTCTTTCACATGCTTTTTACAACATATAGAAATCATCATTAAGGCATAAAAGATACAACAAAAATAGAATATTCGCAATATAAAGACTCACAGTCATGCTAGATACCAACGTATAGATACTCATCACCATGCCAATACGTCGTACTTGACAATTAGCACGTAGCAAATAAGACTCAACTCCTAATCCCTTGAGCTAAGGTTAGACCAAACACTTACCTCGAAGCTTTGAACACCACTCAAGCCTCAATTATAGCTTTACCCCCTTGATTCCACCACCAATCCTCTCGAATCAAGTCACAAGTTACTTAATTACATCAATAAGTGCTAAATGAATCAACCCCAATGCATGAAAATGAGTTTTCCCAAAGTTTTACCCAAAAAGTCAAAATCACCCCTAGGCCCACGTGGTCAAAACCCAAGGTTCAGACCAAAACCCAATTACCCATTCTCCCACGAATCCAAATATATAATTTGTTTTGAAATCGGACCTCAAATTGAGGTCCAAATCCCCAATTTTTGGAAAAACTAAGTTCTACCCAAAACACCCAATTTCCCCATGAAAATCTTTGATTTTAAGTTGAAATCATGTTAAAAGATGTCAATGATTANAAAGGGTTCAGAGGCCTGCAACTTCCTGAACCTGCAACATCTGACTTTCTAAGCCTAAGGCATTTTGGAACCTACTCGAACTCACCCGAGCCCTCGAAACACCAACCCAAGTATACACACAACCTCAAAAATATCCTACGGACATATTTGTGTAATCAAATTACCAAAATAACATCACGAACATCGAATTAAACCTCGAGATCAATGAAATTTCTCAAAACCCTTTTAAACATCACATTTCTCAATTAAGGTTCGGATCGCGTCAAACGACGTTCGTTTTTAACCAAATTTCACATGAATGCTCAAGTAATATATAAGACCTGTATCGGGCACCGGAACAAAAATACGGGCCCGATCCTAACTCGTTCTAATAAAATTTCATTTCAATTTCCTTAGACATTTTCAGAAAAATAATTTCCTTAAAAAAATTCACTTCTTGGGCTAGGGACCTCAGATTCCGATTTCGGGCATACGACCGAGTCCCATATTTTCCTATGGACCCTCAGGGACCGTCAAATCACGAGTCCTGGTCCGTTTACCCAAAATATTGACCGGAGTCAAATTTATTCATTTTAACATCAAAACTTAGCATTTTTTACAAAATATCATATTTAACCTTTCCGGCTACG